GACTCACAGCCTGTAAGGGAGTGGAAATGCTCCCTATGGGTCCTTTATCAGGTTTTTTTGTGATCTGTTTTTTTCTTTTTAAAGTGGTCTACCCGAGTTTCCCAAGATTCTACTGTATAAAATTGAGGAAGAAAGTGAGTTTGAATTTACTGTGGTCCTCACCTTGAGAGGGTTTCCTCTCCCATCTTCATGTTAAAAATAGCACACCTCTAGTGTGGAGCCCTAGAATTCCATTTCCTGGCCACAGAAATCCTGTTGTATTTCTGGAACTGATCTCACCACTGACTAAGGACTTGCTGTAGCTGCGCTCCTCCCACACACCTCGCATACCCACAGGACTGGCCATGGGAGAAAGTGAGAAATGAAGCTCATCTACAAGCCTGTCCTTAAGAAAGCTGTGGGCTTCCCTTTGGACGTGGCTTGGAACAGACGATGTGCAGGCAGAAGCTTCCGGGGATGTGGGGGCACGGCTCCCCCACCTGTCCTTCTCCAAAGCCATCGGCTTGTCCATGTGGCCTCCCTGTATTTCTCAGGCTCTTCTCTAGCCCCAAATGCAGCACGGAGGCCCCTGTATCAGTCGGGCGTCCTCTGAGAAAGGGAACCAGCAGGCTCTGTGGGTACATGAGTGGGCACACGCGACTGTGGCAGCGGGCAAGTCTGACATCCACAGGGCAGCTGAAACCGGCAGGGGCTGACGTTCTGGTCTGGAGGCAGAGTTTCTTCTTCAGGAAGCCTCACTTTTGCTCCGAAGTCCTTCCACTGAGGCCCGCCACACTACGGAGGGCAACCCACTCCACTTAAAGTGACTAATGGAGGATGCTAGCCACGCTACAAATACGTACATGGCAGCACCTAGACTAGCATTGAATGGGCCACTGGGACCTCAGCCCAGCCACACTGACATGTCAGACTGAACACCAGCGTCTCCTCTGTCTCCCCACCCACAACAGTCCATAGCTGGGTGCAGGGTTTGATATTTGTAAGTCGGGGGTCTTTCTCTGCACTTACGCTGCACGTCCTCCACAGTGTTTCCGAGCTTCCTCTCGGGAGGGTGACATTACCAGGCCGCTGTTGAGTGCCTTGCCCAGGGCCCACATGGCTCCTGGTCCTTCTGAGGCTGATCACAGGGGCTCCGGAGCACGGACCTCTGCGTGGGCCCAAACAGGACACTGGCCAGGCCAACTCCAGACTGTGTTCCTTTTCCTACAGGAGCATCATGTAAAGAGGGGAGCATGATGCCTTTTTAAATGAGGGAACAGAGAAAAGAGGCCATTCCCTTCGTTTTGAAGAGGGGCATGGGGTCCTGGTGAGGGTCCCAGCTGATCTCAAGGATCCCATGGGACCTGGAAAGCCTTGTGGCTGCAGCCTGACCAGCTCTGACCAGGTGGGGTGGTTGGAGCGGCACCGACGCGCCCTTAAAGGATCAATAAAAGCACATTGGTGGATGGGGATAAATGAAAATGCTTTTTCACACTGAGGTCCCACCTCCATGTGCCCCTTCACCACCTGCCAGAGACCTTTTTTGGGGTGCTTCCATCAGCAATAACTGGAAAAGTCTGTTAATTTTTCTTTAGGATCAAGTGTATATATGGCTTCATTTATATCTTTGATTTTATATTTTTTCTTTGCCCATTAACTGTTTATATATGAATTTAGTCTGACGTTGTGGAGAAGGTGAAGAGCTGGGTTTTTCCTTCAGAACTGTGGTTTCCAGAGTGTGATCCCCACACCAGCGGCCTCAGCCTCACCTGGGAGCGTATTAGGAAAGCAAACTCTCAGGCGTGGCCTGACATGCAAACCCCTGGGGGGGCCGGGCCGTCTGCTATCCAAGTCCTCTGAGCAGCTCCAGTGGGTGGGAAGTTTCAGAACCGCTGGTGGAGGGAAATGACTCCTTGGCCTCTGTGGGCCTGCTGTTGTCGCCAGAGCAGAGGAAGGACAGGATTGCCCCCAGGTGAGAAGAGACCCGCTTTGTGCAGCCTCTTTGAGGGATCAGGTGTGTGGGCAGAGACAGCTTGTTGCCTGCAGAGACGGGCGTGAACAGGGAGGCATGGCAGTCAGAGCCGCCTTCCGACTTCTAGAGCAGGAGCCGTGAGCAGCGAGGCCTCCCTTCTCAGAGTCAGCGAACGATGCCCAGGGCCGCCTGTCCCATCCCAGCCGAGCTGTTCATAAGCACGCCTGCGGCTGGGCCACGCATCCTTTTCCATGAGGTTCACCATTGCGGTGAAGCAGAACCGAACCAGACTCCTGAACAGAAACATCGGTTCTTTACAGAAGGGTGGCTCGGAGTGGAAAGGGGGGCGGAAACCAGGCACACTGTGCGGGACAATGTGCCAGGTCCCTGGTCATGCATCTGAAGAAGTGGGATGATTCTTCAGGGCAATTGTGGAGTGTCAGGTCGAGGATGAAGGACTGGAGCACATGGTCGGGACCCAGAAATCCTCACCTACTTGGGGCTTTGGCCTGACATTGGCCAGAGCTTTGGGAATGGAGCACTGCCCATGTGTGTTCAAGATGGCGCAGGAAAGAGAATATTTGTTTGTATAAATATTCATTGGTGTATTACTGAGGGTGACTGGAAGTGGATGTAAAATGTATGTTCTACTCCATTAGGAAATGTGCACATTAATGGTTTTCTTTCTTCCTCACTCTAAAGCTAGAAATTAAGTCTATTGCGCTGTGAGAGGGCTTCTCACTGTAATGGGCATCAATGACACCTCCTGCGAGCCGCTGTCTGGATGATAAATGGGAACGGAGGTGGAGTAGAGTGGGGGTGGGGGCAGCCCTCTGGGGAGCTGCTGCTTGTGTGTCCAGAGGACAGGAGCCTCCAGAAGTATTCCCAGCTCTGCCAGCCTGCTTTCCTCCGGGGTCCGTGGGCCTGGACCCCTCCAGCTGCCAGGTTAACTGGGGGCCTCTGGACTCGTAGGGTGAATGGGCAGGCCTTCCATGGCAGGAAGTCAGCAACACAATGAGGAGATAGAGCTAAAAGCCAACCAAACTCTTATGTCCCAAATGTGCCATTTTGCCTAAATTCACAACGTTGTATCATAATTAAGTTGTGTCAGCCAGCTTCATGATGCAGGGGGAGCCAATTACCAAAGAAACCCACTCGTGATATAAAATGCCATTTGCTTGGGAAACCCCAAAAGGACATTATTCCAGGAACCTTGACAAGGTACATTACTAGGGTTTCATTCCTCCAGCAGGAGATTTTGTGCTCTGTTTAATGAGGCTGGAGGAATGACAGACTTCTCAGTGACCCCAATGGGTCATGCCCATGTATGATCACCTCTGTTTGACTGTGGTGAGACCTGTACACATGATTGCATTCCCATAATTAGATTAAGCTGTAAGACAAAGATGGAAGTATTTCACAGAGGTCACCAAACAGAAGATACTCCAGGTGGGCCCGACCTAATCAGGGGGGTTCTGCAAAAGCAGGCCCGAGGTCAGATCTGCAAGCAGCAGCCATCCCTTCTTGTTCTAAACAACAGGGTCACACGTCAGGGAATGGCAGATGGCCTCTAGGACCTGCTGGCCTCAGTCCTACAGCAGCAAGGGACTGAATTCTGCCAATGAGCTTGAAGGAGAGCCCCGAGCCTCAGGCGAATTGGCAGCCCTGACCAGCCAGCCCCTTCACAGTAGCTCTGTGCCATCATGAGCAGCAGAGCCCCAACTCTGGAACCACAGACACTGTGAGTCTGTGAATTTGTGTTGATTTAAGCTGCCAAGTTTGTGGTAAGTGTTATGCCCTGTGGACAATGAATACAGGAGATGAGAGGCAGCCTTAGGTCACCAGAAGGTCATAACAGCTACCATTTACCAGCCTTCTCTGGGGCAGGTGTTTTTATCCATCATCTTAATCTTACAATAATCCACGGAGTTAGGGTGGCCCACTGGGAGAAGACTGCTGTGGAGGGGGTGTGGCGCTGGCAGACACTGGAGCCTGAGACCACAGGCGAGGGAGGCTGCGCATTTGGGGTTGGTCCGATTGTCCTCACCTCTGTGATCTCCTTCCAGAGAAAATCTTGGGCCTCCCCTGAGAGTTCTCTCTCTTTTTGATAGAGACGTTTGATTCCCTGCTGCAGTGCAGTCAGTGACATGGTTGTTTACATCACATCCATGAGCTCTAAGGTCTGATGGGAAAGTAAACTCCAGGCGCTTCGTGTCCACTGCCCAGGCCTGACCGTGCATCCCTGGGAAGCGGTCGCTGTCCTTCATTCGGTGCGTGATTTAGGGAACTAGTCTGTGAGCACTCTGGGGGCAGTACCTGATGACACCAGCTGGAACACGCCTCTTGTTCCTGCCCCGGTCCTTTCCTCCCCTGGGTTGTGAGCATGAGGGTTGCACACTTACTAGCACAGTCCCGGGTGTGTCCCCAGGTTCCGTGTCCAGGGCTTGACCTTGCCCTGCCCATGTCTGATGCGCAGTCACACATGCTCACTAGCATTCACACTCAGACACAGGAACGTGAACACTGGGACACACACATGCAACCACACACACATTCACACACACGGATACAAACATACACATTCTTAACATACACAAACACATATGCGCAAGTGCACTCATGCACATTTACACACTCACACACACTCGCTCACGCAGTGTACCTAACCCCGAATCTCCCTGCAGGCATGTGCTCGTGTTGTTCCCGAGCCTGAACCGCCTCTCCCGTCTGCATTGTTTGGTTAACTTCTCTTCCTCTGCAACTTACTTGAAGTTTGTTTGACCTCCTATGAGGAGCTCCACAATGCCAGGCTTGGCTGGTGGCCCCTGTCCCCTCCTGGGGCACTGCCCCGCCCGCCGGGAATGTGCCTCGGTCACTCCCGCGGCTCCTTGAGGCCAAGGCTGACCTCTCCCCCCTTGACTGGCTCTTCGCTGCACCGGCCCACAGTCACTGATGCTCCTCTGAGTGTCCGGCCTTTCCTGGCAGCCACACTTCTGCGTGCGCTGTGCCTTCTGCTGGCCCTTCCCTTCCCTGTCCCCTGCAGCAGACCGGCTCCTGCTCATCTACAGAAAGCCAGCATCGGTGACCCCAGCAAGGAGCCTCCCGTCGGGCTCAGGTGCACCCCTCACCGCTCCCCCGACCAGCCTGGCCAGCCTGGCGAGCCTGGCTCTCCTGGCCGCACGCGGTGACTAATACGCCGCGCTCCTCGCGCGCAGTGCCGTCCTGCTCACCTTCGTGCGTCCGTCGGTCAGCGGCCCTTGGGAGCTGCCCAGGGAAGGGATAAGCTCTGGGAAGGCCGGCAGGTCTGAAAGGGAGAGGAAGAGAGTGTAGACAGGCCAGAAATTCTTGGGCTTTCTGGATTTAAAAATAAAACCATTGCTCATTTTTAGCGCTTCATTCAGGAAAAGGTTCTCAAAGTAAGACACAGCTTTGTTAAGACTTCCAAAATCATTAAGGTGGCACTTAATAGAGCCCCTTAGCTGGTGAAAGGGGCCCCGGAATGACTTCCAAAGTACCCATGAGGAAGTCTGGGGGGCCAGGCCTGCCTTAGAAAAAAAGTGTGGATGTGGCCGTTGGCATCCGGAGGTACCTGGAATCAAATACGCTGGAATCCCGTGGGTTTGAATCTACTGGCCCAAGGGCTGCCAGCCCGGCCTGAAAGGCGGGGAGTGTTTGGGATGTGAAGGGGCCTCTCTGACCACCTTTCCAGGCAGCACACGGGCGGAGGAAGCTGCCTGGGACGTGAAGGGCACATTCTCCAGCCCCCCGAGGGCGTGAGGCCAGGAGGAGGGTGGAAAAGGAAAGACCTCCCCAGACTGGATCCAAATGATGCGGAGGATATTCCCAGGGGGCGGACCCAGGGCCTGAGCCGAGCACAGCCTCTGCCTCCGCCCGAGGGCCCGGCGGTATTTCCCAAGCAGCACTTCGCTGTCCGAGAACCAGCCGTAGTCCCGGGGGCGTCTGCAGAAAGGGGAGACGGGTGAGCCCGAGGCAGTCACGAGATCGGGGGCCTCAGGCCTGGCGCCGGGCTGGGTGAGGCTTCTGCGGTGTCTCAGCAAGGGCGTGATGGCGTTTCGCACACGCAGAAGGAACTGACAGGGCGGACTGCAGCCCTTCCTATTGCTTTTCAGCGAATATCCACCCCCTGCCCCCAGTAGAGTTGGAAATACTTCCCAGCTCCGTGGATGGAGGGTGAGCTTGGCCACGTGACTCACCCTGGCCAATGGGGTGCCAGCAAATCCAAAGCGGCGAAGGCTTGGCCTGAGCCTGCGGTGTCGGCTTTGGTTTTTCACCGTCTTCCCCGCAGGAGTTTCCACTTGGGAGCCGCTGTCCGTTGCTGGAGCAGAGCTGAGCCCAGCCCCCGGGGAGAAGCCAGACGCAGCCAAGCCCGTGCTGGACCAGCCGCCCTGCCCAGCGCCCAGCAGCCCTGAGCCGCAGTGCGGGCTGCGCCCAGCAGGGGGGCTTGGCAGGGGCTTGCTGTTCGGGAACAGCTGACCGGTACCTTCCTTCAAGCGAGAACAGGTGGCGGACAAAGGGACGGCACAGGGCTCTGGCCGGTTTTCCGGGGTGGGCGGGAGCGGGGACTGGAGCAGCTCCCAAAGCGGGAGTCTGGGAACCGAGGCGCCGTCCCGCAGAAAGCAGCCTGCTCTGCCCCAGGCGCCGCTCTGAGCCCGGAGAGCTGTTCTGAGAATAGCAGAAAAGGAGGATGATGGGGGGGCTGTGGGTTCACATAAATGTCCTACCAGGATCATTTTCCTTAAATAAAGATGGAATGCGACTTGCTCATTTCAATTACAGGAATAATAAACATTCTCTTCCTGATCAGCTTCCAGATAGGCATAGTTGCCAACTGTGGACGCCTAGCGCTGCCATTAAGGCGGCAATGGAACAGTTATTGCCAGTGTTCGTTTTCAGCGACTGAGGGAGATTTGATTTATTTAAAAAAAGATTGCACACACATGCAACAGATTTATTGGACCTCAACAAATGTTCTCGTAACAAAAATTATAATTTTAAATACTCCTCAGAAAGTGGCCCTATTCAGTCTTATGCCAGGCCCTGTGTTTAAACAAAATTCAAGTTAAGTGAGCTTATTGTCTTCTCCTTTTTAGCTAACTAATCAGATGAAAGCTGATTTGAAAGTAGCAATGGCCTTAAAAAATACTTACTCTTTTTCCCCTAAAGCCTGTTCTTGTTTGCCAGCTTTTCTGACAGTCCCTATGGGGCCAATAATGACTTCGCTCAAATAAGACTTATTTTTATTTTTTTTAAATTTTGGTATCATTAATCTATAATTACATGAGCAACATTATGGTTACTGGACTCCCCCCATCATCAAGTCCCCACCACGTACCCCATTGCAGTCACTGTCCATCAGCGTAGTAAGATGCTATAGAATCACTACTTGTCTTCTCTGTGTTGTGCTGCCTTCCCTGTGCACCCCCAACATTATGTCTGCTAATCGTAATGCCCCCTTTCTTTTCCCCCCCTTATCCCTCCTGTCCCACCCATCCTCCCCAGTTCCTTTCCCTTTGGTAACTGTTAGTCCATTCTTGGGTTCTGTGAGTCTGCTGCTGTTTTGTTCCTTCAGTTTTTTCTTTGTTATACTCTACAGATGAGTGAAATCATTTGGTAGTTGTCTTTCTCTGCCTGGCTTATTTCACTGAGCATCATACCCCCCAGCTCCATCCATGTTGTTGCAAATGGTAGGATTTGTTTTCTTCTTATGGCTGAATAATATTCCACTGTGTATATGTACCACACCTTCTTTATCTATTCATCTACTAATAGACAGTTAGGTTGCTTCCATTTTTTGGCTATTGTAAATAGTGCTGTGATAAACATAGGGGTGCATCTGTCTTTTTCAAACTGGGCTGCTGCATCTTAGGGTAAATTCCTAGGAGTGGAATTCCTGGGCCAAATAAGACTTAGGTTTTTAAGGTAGACTTTTTAGGTTGTCATTGATCACATTGCAGTGTAACTTACGCACATGTACGTTCTCATGTGTCCCCTATGAGACTCCAGCTCTTTCCAGGTGTGAGCAACACATAGGGTACAGAGGGTCACACAGCGGTTGCTGAACAGAACTGAATTGCAGTGGTCCATCCTGAAGGGCTTGGTTGAAAGGGAGCCCCTGAGGAATGACCCAGTCACGTGTGTGTGATCGTCACTGATGCCCACTCACTGTAACCACGGTGAGCATCGAAGCAGAGCAGTTACGTGGGGCGCCCTGGCCCCGGCTCACGAGCTTGGATGCTCCCGCCTGCCGAGGTTGCTACTTGGTGTCCAGCCTGTCCGTGAGTGCGTGGACGGAAAGGCCACATGGTCAGGGCTACACATCAACATGAACGTGCTTTTCCTGTGCCCTGAGTGTCCTCACAATGCCCGCTGGCCCCATCATTTTCCACCCTTCACCATCTGACTCCAGTCCAGGGCTGCCCTGGCGTGGTTCATGGCTACCTCAGCCCCCTGATCCAGCCCTTGTCTGAATCCTTGTAGAACTCAAACCAGGTCTTGATTGAATATTGCTTTGAAAGTCACTGAAATGCTTGCTTTATGTCCGTATTCTTTCTTCTGACCAAATCAGAGTGTAGCAACGGCTCCTGGGATTTTTCCTGCGTCTCCCGTCAGCTGTCCGGGAAGCAGAGTGAGCATGGGGCTTGGGCTGGACACGCCGGTGCGGGAACCCAGCTCTGCCGCCTACCTGATCTGCAGAGCAGACAAGTTCCTGGAAGCCAGGGCCTTATGGCGAGGCCCCAGGTAGGACGGGTGGGGGTCCCTAGGTCTGGCGCAGCCCTGGGGAGGTGTGGTTGCCCAGATGCTGGCACTCGGTTGTGGCATGAAGCCTGGGACGTGGCTCCTGGATGAGCGTTTCTGTGCACTGAGGCTGGTGTGCAAGGCAAGTCACAGTGGAGCTGTGCCCCACACCCGGCCGGGGGGCTCCCTGTGCACCCCAGCCCCTCCACCATGCCATCCTCATCCCAGTGGGTCTTTGGGAGGAAACCAGATATTGGGTGGGTGGGTGGGGCAGCAACAGATTCCCACAACTTGAACAAGCCTGACTTAGTCTGCCCGGTGCTCATGTGTCAGGGGCTCCACGGTGACGTCTCAGGGCCTCTGTGATTGTCACAAAGGCCATTCCTGCCTCCCTGCCACTGGCCAGCCGCCTGGCAGAGTTGGATGGCCCCTGTGAGCTGGCGCCCAGAGCCGGCTGGTGCTTGTGTTTCCCAGTGTGGGCACAAAGAGCCTCGGGGTTCATGGTGCCTATTCCTGTGGCCTGGCGACGTGGGTGGTGTGGTTTCACAGTGGGGAAGCTGGGGGAATGTATAAGAGGAAGGAAACGGTTGTGTAATAATCCAGTGCAAACTGCACCATGGGTGCAGAAGCTGCGCACGTGTGGGGGACTAAGACTTTCGTCTTCCTCTTACTTTAGATAAGATAACTCAGGGCTGCCCAGGGCCTGGCAGGGAGTGTGAGCCAGTGGGTGGGACAGCGTGAAAGTGAACCTGGCTTCTGGGGAGGGGTCTCCTTGGCTCCGGCTGCCATGGGAGGCCTCTATATTCTGTGCCTGAAAAACAATTGAAAACCAAGATTGTAGTGTGAAATATCCTGAATTTTAAAAGTTGATAAGCAATTAGAAAATTAGTCTGTGTGGTCCAAACAAAACCTGTCTCTGCCAACTGGACCTGACTTCAGGTCTATTGGTGTATTCTGGATAGACTTACCCTTGGGAGTGTGTGTGTGCGCGTGTGTGTGTGTATGTGTGGAGAGGAGTGAGAGAGTGATTACCTGCTCATCCCAGAGGGACACAGGGAACAGCACGAATCTCATACTTGCCTGGTAGAGAGATGAAGTGGACTGGACGAGAGTGCCCAGCTGTGCCCTGGCCTCTTCTGGCCGAGTCCCAGCCTGCCTCTCAGGCTTGGGGAGCAGGTGTCAGGGAGGGAGCTGGGATCTGTGGACAGGACGGCAGCCTCCCTGAGAGGGGGGAGGTGGTTGGTGAGGGGTGGAAAACCAGACCCAGGAGTGGGAGGACCTTCCCAGTGGGAGGATCATCTCAGTGGGAGGACCACCCCAATGGGAGGACCACCCCAGTGTGAGGACCGCCCCAGTGGGAGGATCGCCTCAGTGGGAGGACCGCCCCAGTGGGAAGACCACCTCAGTGGGAGGACCGCCCCAGTGGGAAGACCACCTCAGTGGGAGGACCGCCCCAGTGGGAGGATCATCTCAGTGGGAGGACCATGGAAGACCACCCCAGTGGGAGGACCACCTCAGTGGGAGGACCACCTCAGTGTGAGGACCACCCCAGTGTGAGGACCTTCCCAGTGGGAGGATCACCTCAGCATCGTTCTGAGGAGGATGTGAGGTCAGGTGGTGGACAGTCCTGGATTGCTGTGCCTAAAATTGCTCCCCTGGGGGCCTGGCTGACCCACTTGTGCTATCTGACCTTAGGGTGATCAGGGCAGGTGGCCAGTGGTCCGGAGTGTGAGAGCCTATAAGGAGGCGGCTGGGTGTGGACTCTGGGTTGGTTGGTTTACATTTAAAGGTGCACTTGCAGGTGAATGATGGGTCCTCTCCAGACAGCCCAGAAAATAAAAGGTGGTGAACATTCAGAGTTCCACTGCCAGCATTCTAGGTACTGGGAGCTGGGGCCACATCAGTGGTTGCCTGGGGCTGAGATGTGCCAGGCATGGGAGTACCCACTGATGTACCAGGTTTCTTTTGAGGCTGATGGAAGAGTGCTGGGATGAGACAGTGGTCATGGCTGAACAACTTTGTAGGGAAAATGGCAGCTTGATGGCCAGGATCCTCACCCAATCTTAACTTACTCACCCACTGTGTGCATGTGATGATGTAATACTTAGCCTACTGCACAGGTGCATCCTTGCCCACCAGTTGGCCGGGTGCAGGAGAAGCCCCGTGTGGGCGTGGCAATGGCCTGATGGTCCGAAGGGGGATATCATAGACTGAGTGTGTTGTCCCTGCCCTTCACATCGAATCCCGTGTAGTGGCATTAGGAGGCGGGCCTTTGGAGGTGATGAGGTCACAGGTGGGGGGTTTCCTTACAGGAAGGGCTGGGAGAGAGCAAGCTCTCCGCCCTGGGAGGGCACAGTGAGCAGACCTCCGCCTGCAGACCAGGAAGGGAGCCCTTACACACTCAGGCTCTGCCTTCCTCCTGGTTGCCGGCCTGCCTAGCTGTGAGAGAGAAATGTGTGCCGTCTAGGCCCCCAGACCGAGGTGCCCTGCAGCAGGAGCTGACCAAGCCTGGAGGAAGCAGATTTCACGGGGCTGGGGAGCTGCGGTCAGCCTGGGATGGTGCGGAGGGCCAGCACAAACATCTGGGTGCATTTGGGGAGCCCTGGGCAGGAGGTGTGTGCAAGCAGGTGACGTGAGGGTGGGGAGGAGGGACCGGCTCCCTCCAGGAAGCCGCCAGCAGGGCAATAGCCCAGCCCTGCAGAGTTTAGCAGACCCAGGCTGGTGGGTGGCCCGAGCCAGGGAGCCAGGAGCTGGTCCCGCCTGTTTGAATGTGGGGTCTAGACCCTCAGAGACCTGGGGGTGGGTGGGCAGGGCAGCAGGAAGGGGGTCCCAGTGCTTCTGCAGAGCTGGGAGTGAGGCTCCTTCTCTGGTCCATTTGTACGAATTGTGACCAATGAATTCAAGCACGTCATCCCATCAGTGAAAAACAATCAGTGAAATTTATTCATTTATTCGTATCAGTCATTTATTCATTTATTCATGTATGAGCATCTGTTGGCCTGGTGGTGTGAGCTGGGGGTACCCTGGGGGGCTGGCAGGAAGGTGCCCGCCTCACAGCGCCTGCATTCCACCAGAGGCGCTCCCCCAGCAGACCCACCCTCACTGCATTTCAGCACTGGTCAGCGCTGGAGAGGGAGGGGGCCGAGGAAGACTGCACAGCAGGGCTCTGTCCGGCTCTGGGGCCTGGAAGGGGCTTTCTAGAGAGAAGAGGGGTGAGTGGAGTTCTCAGTGCTGAGCAGGAATCACCCGGCTGAAGGTGGCAGAGAGGAAACCTGTGGTGAGGCAGATGGCAGAGCTGGGGAAGTGGAACAGCCCCAGCCTAGTGAGCTTAGTCTAGCCCTTCGGATACAGGATAACTGAGACGTCCAGTGATGGTGGTAATGTCAGTTAATTCTCACTGTTATGGGCAGAATCATCTCCCCTCCCCCCAAGTCCATGGGTTGAAGCCCTGGCCCCCAGCATCTCAGAAAGCAACTGCATTTGGAAATAGGGTCTCTAAAACATAAGGAAGCAAAATGGGATCACTAGGGTGGGCCTTACTCCATTCTGACTGGTGTCCTTGCAGAGAGCCGAGGACAGACACACGTGGGGAAGACCGTGTGAGGACGCCGGGAGAAGACGGCCAGCCAGAGGCTGCTGACCCAGCCCTGCCGCCCGACACCCCGATCTCGGACTTCCAGCCTCCACGACTTTGTTCCAGGAGGTGAAAGTCTGTTGTGTAAGCTGCCAGTGGTACTTGTTATGACAGCACTGGGCGGCTAGTAGACTAAGTGCCAGGGATCGCTCTAGGTCCTTGACATCCATGCACTTATTTCTCATGCTGACCCCGGGCAGCTGCTGCCTTAGTCACCCTCCATGCTGCTGGGGACACTGGGGAGCGGGCTGAGAACTGACGTTGTCCGCACCCAGAGCCGACTCTGTGTTAACGTGACTTCACTGTTGGGCCTTCAGTACTAACACGGCTTTGCATTCTTGGCCAGGTAGATGAAGTGCAAGCAGCTTTATGATTTGTTTCAGAAACTTCCTGAAAACCCATTTACCTGGGTAAGACCCTACTTAACTTTCTCTCAAAAACATAAGCGGCCCCTTCTAAGAAAAATCGATTGCTCACCTGGGCTCGTAAAGGAGTGTACACACTCCCGGGGTTTGTTCCGCAGCCGTCCCTGCCTGCCCGCCAGTCCTCCCGTGTTCTAAGTCCTGCTTGCTGCCAGTTAGGCCCCCCGAGTTCACAGATCTACCATGAAGCAGACCCTCTTCCTGACCCCCTCCCCACCGTTGCCCTTCCCCTTCCAACACGAGCCCACGTAGCTGGCGCCCCTCACTGCAGGGAGCAATAACCCGGCTTTGCTGGACCCACGGCTCATTTCGGCCGTCTCTCTCTGGGAGTCACCGTGGCCGAGGTGAGGGAGCTTGTGTGGAATCACAGCTGGTGGGCGGTGGAGCTGGGGAGGCACCTTCAGGATGGGGCTGCAGCGCCTGCACTTCTGTGGCGTCTGAGGGTCGGAACCAGACGGAGCTTCCAGGCCCTGAGTCTGCCCATCTCTGCCTGGTGCTCCCCAGAGGGTGGGCAGCCTCTGGTCCCATTGCTGGGGGCCACTGCTGGAGGCGATGCGGCACAGCACAAGGAATGAGGGCTCTGCGCACAGACCCCACTCATTCATTGGGCAGCTGTGTGACTTTGAGCTGGTGACCCAACCCCTCTGAACTTTGGATTTCCCATCATCAAAATGGGGATACTGGGCCACAGCTCACAAGGTCATGGTGAAGATCAGAAAGGACTGATATTGATCAGGTGCCTGGTGTGTGGTAGGTGCCCAGTGGGTGATGTGTTCACTGCTATTTGCTTGTGAGAGTTGGTATCTACCTTCCAGACTGCCTCTCCCTCCCCCACCATTCGTCTTGCTGTTTCAACAAGCATGGACCACTCCCAGAAGTTAGGAAGTTCTAGGACTGCAAGCAAATCCCTCTTTCCAGAGCCATTTCATCCCTTTCACTTTTGTCCTAAAGTCAGTGGAGCTGGAGCAGGACAGCCTGGGCCCGTCCAGAACCCGCCTGGGGTTCCGTCACTCCCCAAGAAGGGCTCA